TCCAGTCTCTTAAGAAAGTCCTCCATCTGCCATTTCTCTGATTGGTGTCTGTGTTGTTCTAAAACTAATCTTTGAAGTTTAGAAAATAGATATGAAAACACCTAGCCGTGGAATGATTTTGTTTCACATGTTCATTTGTTCTGCGGAGCTGTGGATTGAACCGAGGAGGCCTGGGGCATGCTAGGCAAGCTAGGCAAGTGCTCTCTTGTGATCTACTTCCCCAGCCTAGCTACTCAACTTTCAGGTCCTTTGGGTATTTCTTTACCTCTTTAACAAGGAATTGGGAACAGTTCATCCTCCTAATAAGAAAGCCTCATGTTTCCTGTGGAGAGTTATTTCTGTATGTGTGTAAGTGCACATTGTAAAATAAAATTATCACATTTCTCAATGGAATTTTATCTTCTCAGTGCAGAAACCTAACCTTTTAAAGTGGAATTCAAAACCATGAGTTATATTAGCAGCCTGAGCTCACAGTGATGGTGCTATTGTAACATAAGCATAGCCTTTTGCTACATATACCTAAACATAATTTGGAATGTATTTACCTTTTATAACACAGTTGTCTCTTAAAAGAGGGGAAATAAAAAGCTTCTTATAAAAATCTACTCCCTTTGATAAAGTCCATCTTTTTGGTTGTGTTGTTTGTTTTGTGCATCCCAAGTTTAACACAAACTCAAATACTCCTGCCTTAACTTCCTGAGAGCTGGGATTATAGCTGTTTTTTAAATTGTAAAATGTTTTTAAAATTCTCATTGAACTTGTATATTTTATAAGTTTGTGTCATATGTGTGTGTTAGTGAACAACACCTGTGGAGGTCAGAGGACAAAGTTATGCAATGGACTCTCTCCTTCCACCTTTACATGGGTTCTGGGGATCCAACTCAGGTCATGAGCCATGCCTGGCAAGAGCCATCTCCCCTGCCAACAGGGTTTTCAGACTACAAGTAAGTCATGTTCCCACCTCAGCATTGTTTTTTAAGATTGTCTCAATGTCCTATCTTCTAATGCTTGTTATATAATTGATCTTTATTTTGAACTTAATGACAAAACCTGAGCCTTTAAAGTGAGGTATTACCCAACCATCATGCAAAAGTCAGTTTTAGTGTTTTATTTTCAAGCAGACATTCTATGATAATACAATCCAAATATTTTATCATAGTCACATATGCATATGACAGTAACAGATTCTTGTGCTAGTTGCATTCCCATCTTCTCAGTTTTCATTTTTCTTATTAACTTGGACTCTTCTGCTCTGTGGTTTTTATTTTCAGTGTAATGTAGATTTCCTGTCTTTGACGTTCGTGCCACAGAAGTAGAGGATCCATTAGCCAAGATGTTTTCCCTTAAAATATGACTATCTAGGCTTCATATTCGTGGTTTTTATGTCAGCTTGAAATAGGACCAAGATGTCTCCACAGCTTATCAAGTTTCTATGTACAGCTGAGTCTAGTGGGCAGACTATGCAAGGAACTCAGTTGTTTTGCTGATGCTAAGTGTGAACGCTAGATGGTGCTCTTGAACAAAGCTTTAACTTCACCTGGAATGTACTTGCAGTGATAAGTTTGGACTAAAGTGCAATTTATCCTTGACTATTATGAGATGGCAAGTTTCTAGAATTATAAAGGAAACACTAGTGGCCAGAAAACTTTACAAGATCTAGAAAAGAATGGCCAATGAACTTAAAAATGGTAAGTATGTTCTCTTATTGAACATCATTTTCACAGCATTGGTATTTAAGTGTGTGGCTGATAAACCAGTTTGATGAATAAATCATCTTTCTTGGGCTCTAGGTTTAATGTTAGTAAATGTGCCATGAGAAATAAGAACTTCCTTTGATCTGTTGTTTACACTGACACTATTTTTTAAAGTCCAGTTTCATACGTCACAGGCAGTTCAGAAGAGGACAGAAATACTGCATTGTCTTCCCTGTGTTGTGACTGTCTCCAAAGACTAAATAGATTTTCATGGTGACAGTGTCTTGTCCTATTGGGAAAAGAAGAAAGGATACTTTTTACTTTGATGATATTTTCCTTTAAAAAATATTGTGGGGGGGGGCCCTTCATTTCTTCTTTGATAATATTTAATTGGCCAATTTTAAATAGTTACTGTTCATTAATCCGTGGTCACTGCTATAACTGGAATATATCCTTTATCCCTTATAAGAACCCTGCAGCACCCTGCTTACAGTATGCTACTGTTCTGGTTAGAAAGTAGAAACTTCAGCTGGGCATGAAACTGCATGCTTATGGCCTCATCATCCGGGGGCAGAGATGGGAGAATCTGAGCTCAAAGCCTTGGCTGTACAACAGTTTGAGGCCATCCTGAGCTACATGAGACTTTCTCAGACAGGCAGACAGACCGACAGGAGAAACTAATAGACAAATTGTTATTTGCACGTAGAGCATAAGTACTAGGATGAAGAAAGTCATGAGTTTGAGTTTGGTTCCTTGTGTCCATGCTAAAGCACCCAGCGATACAGGATTTGGAGCATCAGTTTTCTTGCTGTGTCTCTCAGGAGTTTAACCTGGCTAAAACTGAGAAGCAGGTGTGTATTCTGTGTGTCTAAGGAAGTGACATTTTACTCAGAAGCGTTTTCTTTCAACTCAGACTATATGTGAAACACCTAACTGGATTGTCCGAAGTTATCAGGGGACTCAAGAACTTTCTCATAAGGGGATAGACCTACACTCAAAATGTGCATAGAGCTTTCTCTCGGTCAGAAGTGGAACTGGAATCAGATTTTTATAGCAAATTATCAAGTTGGTAGCTTGGAAGGAGATCTTTAAAAGGGGAGGAAAAGAGGAAGCTGATGTTCAGTTCAGATCATGTAGGGAAAGACACTTTTGACACCGATTAAAACAAAGCCATGATGAAAGGACAAAGGTGAAAGGGTGTGTGGAATCCTACTGAACTGTCCCAAAGAGTCTTGTTTACTCATTTTTCAGTCAGACATTGGGCACTGCTGTAGCACTTTGTGAATGATAGTTAAGGTTATATTAATCACCTGAAGTTAAAATGCAGTGTATCCATAGGTCTCTCCCACATACACATAATCTCCCTGTGTGTGTCTCTCTATGTGTAGACATATACACACACACACACACACACACACACGTATATATGTGTGTGTGTGTATGTATGTGCATATCAGTAGTTACATGAACACAAAGTCAGTCAGACAATGTCATGAAAGAACAGAAGAGAAAGCCCAGAGGGACACTAATCTTGAAAATAATTTGAATGATAGCTGCTCTCTGCTAAGAGTTTCCTGTGTAAGAAACCGTAAGAGAGGCTTTAGGAACCAAGGGGAGCTCCTAGCTAATAGCCAGCAGTAAAACTGAGACTTCAGCCACATCTACCAACAATGTGACTGAGCTGGAAGGCCGACCATTCCTCTAGAGCCTCCAGTAAGTAAGGTTGTGCTGGAAGGCTTTGATTGCAGCTCTTGGGTCTTGTGTTGGCCTTCTGATCACCTGACGTAGCAAGATGATAAAGATGTGTCGTAAGGTCCTACTGTTGTGGTGGTTGCTTGTTGACAGTGACTCATAGAAGATGAAGTCTTCCTGGTCCTTCTCATCCCACACAGCTGCTATTTTGTTTATTCCATGCAGGTTGTTAAGCATATACCGTTTGCCTAATTAAAACATCATATACATGCTTTGTAGCCTTTGTTTTCTCTTGTTCAGATACAGGTTTCCATGTTATTACTTAGTTTTACTAATAATTACTTTGAAAAGTTAACATACTGTTCCCTTCGGTAGACACAGCATGGTATCTGAAGCCTGTTAGACGTTTCTGTCCCTTCTAAACTTTCACCTTCATGTTGCACTGGATACTTCTGTGCATATGACCTTGCCCATGAAGGTCCTGAAGTACATTCTGGGATGGATAGTCACTTAGACAAAGGGTATGGTGTGGTTTCTCTTTAACAAACCCTAAGTGGCTTACTAACTTCGGTCTTACCAAAAATAGGACACATGTGTTGAATTTACTGCCTCCTTTAGTACTGCCAATAGAGAGAAATGATTAGTGGGAAGTTTTCAACTGAGTAGTTTCTCATTTCTACAAAGATTTATAAGCTACCACTGAGTGTTTCAAGAAAACAAAGACTGAGCAAGGTGATTGATTGCTTGGTTTAGAGACATGAATGGTGATGTTATAAAATGAAAGTCCATGGCATCAAAGTCCACTTTTAAGCCATCTTGAGTTATCATTAGCCGGCAACTCTGGTGTGCTAATACATTCTTGTCTTTTACATCTATCATACTGATTTTCTAACAGCCATTAAGCCCATAATTACAGATGTATTTTTTAAGTTCTTAACTTACATCCCATACATATCTGGAAAAATGAAAACCTAGAGATAGAAGAGACCAAGTGTGCTTCAAAGCCAGGCACCCACAACACAGTTTTAAGACTGAAATATGTATATACGTTCTCTCTAAGGTGATAGAACAGTTTACATCTTTAGCTTGCTCATGTATCAAGCAATGAGTCAGATGGATTCTAGAGCCTGCTGTGTGACCTTTTACTTCCAACACGTCATTTAACCTCTGGGCCTGTTTTCTGATGAGCCTTCAACACTATCTTGTATAGAAATGGAAACCATGGGCCTTAATGTACAAGAGGACTTGCGTGAAAACAAGACGACTTGAGTTCAGCTCCTAGCACCCACATAAAAACTTGGCATAGGTGTGCAGGCCTGTACCCCAGCTGTTGGAGGGTGGAGGCTAGCCAGCCTAGCTGAAACAGTGAGTTTCTGGTTCAGTGAGACTCTGTCTCGAAATAATCAGGTGAGGAGCAGTAGAGGAAGACTCCTAGTGTCCTCTTCTGGTCTCTGCACGTGCACACAGACATGTGCATTCTCACCTGCATGCACCAAATGTGCAGACAGAGAAAATGGAGCTGTGGTACTAAAATCTGAATGATTGTATGGTTAAACTGCTTTGTATTCTGTACAGAGATAGTGTATTTAAATAAGCACACACTTTGTTTTCTAGGATCAAATCTAAATCGCTGTGGTTTCCGAGGCTCTTCATATCTGGGCATTCCATTCAATCCATCAAAGGTTAGTGGAACATGGGCAAGAGATCTTAGTGAGAAAGCAGATGAAGACATTTAGGAAGAACTAAGCTTCTAGGTTCAATATGCTAAATTTAAGCAAAACTGTCTTAAGTGAAGTCTTTACCCCCTTTCTAGAAGTTTTTTTATGGCACATGTATATGCAGAAATTTATATTATTACCACCAATTATCTCTTATTATTCTGTGTATGTAGATGTTATTAGTCATTCCTGGAGAAACTGAAAACACAATGCTCAGGTACTTTCTGTGAAGCCGGTGAACTTCCCTGTGTTCCAGGATTCAATGTTGGACTCTTGTTCCTCAGGAGAGTGAGATGTTCTCTGGGTTAATGACTTTTGTAGCAGGAAGCTGAGCTTCCCCAGCATTTTGAGCAGAGATTTTTGGACCAGCCCGTGCCAGTGTACAAAGGGCTAATGAAGAGTAGAGGAGCTTTTTCTTCAAAGAAGCAGGCCCAGAGCAAGCGCTGCAGGTTCTACTTGTTCACGAAAATGCCAAGGTGTTTTTATACTGGGAAGTGGAGAAAGGTTGTTTTTGTTTTTCCCTTTCACCATGCTGTACAGTGTGGAACTCAGGGCTTCAAGTACACTAGGCACTACCAACTGAGCCATATTCCTGCCCCTGTTCATTGCTTTTTAAAAAGGAGGTCTCACAAGCGAGGTACCTGAGAGCTCCTATCTGTGATCCCCAGCACCTGAGAACCTGAGATAGGCCGTAGGAGGCTTCTGCTCTGCAGGAAGGAGTCCCTGTTTAAATCTGTGTAGTGCTGTATCTCCTTCATGACCACTTGAGTTACCGCTCTGTATTGCAGTTATGTGCGCAGAAATCTCTTCATCACTTTAAGGTCAAAGTTCACATTTAATTCATGTTTGGATTCCCTGCCATTTTTTTTTTAACATAGCAGGTGTTTGGTTTAAATGCTGAAAACTGAGACCTGCTGTAGGCATTCCAAGAAGTCCATTATAAGCGTGAAATAGAATAGTCAAGAGGTGTTAAGATGAAGATCGGTTTGGTGTTAGTGAGACTATATAAAAGAATTGTGTGGGGTGGACCAGTGGGTGGCAGTGGCTTCAGAGTTAAAGGGTATTAGGTGTCATGCAGATTTGCTCTGTGAGGAAGCACAGGTCATTGTGCAAAAAAATTGTGGGATTAACTTGCTAACCCTTTTTAACACACATGTACAAACCTTATTGGCTAGATTCCATAGATTAAGCTTAAATGTGGTTTATTTCTGAGATTGTGTGACCTTGCTTCATATTACACAGTTCAAGTCCTTACATTTACTTCTTATGTTCTGAATGCTAATGTTTATTAGATGTTGAAGTGACAGTAAAATGATAGGTTATTGGTGAATACTATGGTATTTAATTTAGATTTTTACCTTATAACGTTTTTTTTGTCATTTTAAATTTTTTTGGCAGTTCTGGGAATTAAACCCACAGCCTCAATATACACTAGGCAAGCACTCTAATACTGAGTGGTATTCTCAGCCCAAATTTTACTTCTTTTTATAAATTTTTTGGTTTAAAGTATTGAATACGTTTCTAACTTTATAAGACATACTTTTTACAAATTATGGGCTTGAACTAAGTAGAAAGTTTCAAATATGTGGTTTATTCAAAAGTCATAACTACTTCCATAAGTTGGAGGAATATAAGATTTTGAAAATTATGTAGCTTGTAAGATGACATTGAGAAGTAAAAATTGAGGGTTCCCCTCCCCTCAGGTAGATAGCTATACAAATTGTTATAAGGAATGTTTACTAAACCCTCATTGATACCTCATTTGTGAAATAAAATTTCAATTAACTTGACATAGTATCAATTTTGGATTTAGAATCCTGGAACAGCTCATCCTTATGATAGTGGACACATAGCGATGACCTACACTGGCCTTTCATGCTTAATTATTCTTGGAGATGACTTAAGCCGAGTAGATAAAGAAGCTTGCTTAGCAGGCTTGAGAGCACTTCAGCTTGAAGATGGGAGGTAGGAACTTTTCATTGTTCTCTTATATTTAAGTAAAAACTATTTGGAACTAAAAACCTGATGTATTAGAGGACCATATTCTCTTAATAGCACCATCCAGGACTGGGAATATAGCTCAAGAGTTAGTGCATAATTACTGTGTGAAGGTTCTGGGTTAGACCCCCAGTTACACAATGGGAAAGAACCATATAATGTTTGTATGCATAGTTAGTGCATAATGAAAAAAGTATCACATTTTATATGAACAAAAATAAAGCTCACTTTCTAGTAGAACTTTCTCTTTACCTTCTGGATGAAACAAATAATTTGAAATAAGCTATTTTAGTTTGAATATCCTTGAAAGTACTGATGGGAGAGAAAGGGATGCATGTTAAATATGTTCAAAGCGAAGTGGCTTGCTTTCTAGTTCAGTGAGGAACATAGTTAATGCTCACAGGTACTTGGTGGCTTATGTAAGAGTTTAAGTCACCAACAGTTGTTAAGTTGTTCATACGATGCAGTAGTAGCCATGACCTCCAATCAAAAGACCTTGTGGACGGGTCTGCTGCTGTTACATCCCTGCTCTCCACACTGTGACCCTTATTTTCTTGTCTGTGTTTTCAGAACCCTGCTTTTGATGAGGGAAAAATTACTATAGATGTAATGAATGGACATTTGGGAATCCGGTGTTGCCATACAGAGGAAAGGAACACAGTGTTACCTCTTTGAACCTAAATGTGTAATGAAACTCAATATAATAGATCAACTAATAATTATATGTACAGTGAGGAGAAGTTTCACATAATAAAACATGGGTTAGCAGTTTCTTACTACTAAATAATATATGTGAGGTTTTACTTGGTACTTTTTCTGCTGCCCTTTTTGGGAGTAAACAGCTCAGTCTGAATAGTAGTGTCTGGTTAGTGACAACTCATGAGCATAAATGATTTGGGCCATTTTCTGCCTGTAGAATGTGGTGGGAGTACAGTCAGCTATAGATGTTTCTGTGGGTAAAGACCCAGGGCATATGTCTGTGCTGGAGGTAAATGATCTTAATGCAGCTTCACATCCTTGGCTTTCAGTTTTTGTGCTGTTCCTGAAGGCAGTGAGAATGACATGAGGTTCGTGTACTGTGCCTCCTGTATTTGCTATATGCTCAACAACTGGTCAGGCATGGATATGAAGAAAGCCATCAGCTACATCAGAAGAAGTATGGTGAGTTATGTTGATACAACTGGACCAGTTGGCAGCTGTAGTGTAGTGTAGTGTATGCCTCTTCTCTTCATCAAGATTTAAAAATAAGATTCTTAAGATAGTTGTTTTTTTTTTGTTTTGTTTTTTGTTTTTGTTTATTTTTGGCAGATTGTTTTTCAGAACATCATATGGAAATAATCTGAAAGAGCATGTTGACCATTAAAAGTTAGTCCTTCCATCTATTTTCTAATCTAAGTTTAGAAACATTTTTCTTTCACAGTACATTTTATTCTAGCAGTGGTAAGGGGAGCTTAGACACAGCCAGGATTGATCACTCGCCCTTTGTTCCTGCATCTTCTGGATAAACTTAAGCAGCAGAGTGCTCTCCAGGCTTATCACTTTCCAACCATGAGGGTTCACAGTTTACAGATGACAGTTTTGCAGCTTATAAAGGCTAATTAATCCAACCTCTAGCAGATCTGTTACCTTCTCACAGTGGAATGTCAGAGCTTGTAGAGGAGTGGAATTGAACTATGCATTGATGTTTTCTTCTGTTCTATTTTTGTTGTTGGTTTTGTTTGTTTGTTTTGAGATAGGGTCTCACTATGTAGCCCTGGCTGGCCTTCAGCTCACAGAAATACCCCTACCTCCTGAGTGCCTTATGCATAGATTTTATTGAATGTATGATACAGAGTTTAAAAGCTTGTGACTGCAAGAGGAAAAGACCTTGAAGAGTTTTAAGGGGAAAAGAGCCAAGAGCTGATCTCATTTCTATAATTGAGCTATCAGGAGGCTGAGACAAAAAGATGGCTGAGAATTCAAGGGAGAGGAGGAAAGAGTAAGAATGTGGAGTGTAAAAGGAAGGGAGAAGGAAAGTAACATGTTAGGGGTTGGGTGATAAACATTAATTTGTCCTGTTTCTGCTCTCATGGATAAGGTGGTGCGTGCTAGTTTTCCCTGTAAAACTATTGTTTTTTTTTTTGTCATTATTCAGTAGTTTATGGACAAATAAATATGTGAGGAGTAAGTAGCCTGTATATCATAACCTTTTATTCATTCATGTTGTAGTGTATATGGTTTTCCTACACTAGTACCTATCCTATAATAAGTGGAAATTCCATTATAAAAAAAGCCTTCATTTCTTTATTTACACTGCAAATAGATATTTATACTATAGGCTGTAGATTCTTATTTTATTCAGTGGAATGTAGTCTTTCAGTATCATATTGTCCTAGTTAGCTTTAAGTGTCAACTCGACACAGCCTAGAGTCATCTGACCAAAGAATCTCCATTGCGGGATTGCCTGTGGGTGTGTGTCTGTGAGAGATTGTCTTATTGTTAATTGATGTGCCAGGACCCAGGCCATTGTAGGCAGCCCCATACCCTGGGCATATGGGCCTGAGCTGCTACTAAAGCCAGAGCATGAACCTCTGAGCCAGCAAGCAGCGTTCCCCCAGAGTGTCTGCTTCAAGTCCATGCTTGAGTTCCTGCCCTGGCTTCCTCAGTGATGAATTATAATCTGAAACAGAACCCTAAATTGCTTTTAGTGAAAGGTTTTTTTTATCAAGGTTGGAACTAGAAACATTATGTTTTGATTTGATGCTTGGGTTGTTCCAGCTTCGGTCCGTGGCAACCTTTTCAGGCAGGGTTAGTTGGCATGCTCCCTTCATTCTTTAAAGGCTCCCTTCATTCTTTAAAGGCTTCCTTGCTTTCTGGTGTGCGGTATTTCTGTTTCAACTTTTACTTTTCTGTCCTGTAGTATTGTTTGATGAGAATATCCATATGCCTTTTATTTCTCTTTGTTAAAACAATAGCCCTCTTCTGGTACCGTAGTCTATATTATACGTATATGTATATCAAGTGGGAGTTTATTAGAGTGGCTTACATAGGCTGTGTTCTGGCTAGTCCAGCAATGGATGTCTCCTGATAGAAGGCCATGAGTCTGGTAATTGTTCAGTGCTTATGAAACTAGATGTCACAGGCAGTCATCAGTCTACTTTGGAATCCCAAAGAAGTAGATTTTAATACCAGTGAAGTATTGCCTTAGCAACAGGATACACTTACCAGTGAGGGTGAGGGCAAGCAGGCAAAAAGCGAAAGCTTCCTTCTTTCATGTCCCTTTTTGTGGGCTGCCACCAGGAGGTGTGACCCAGATTTAGGGTTGGCCTTCTGGTCTCAAGTGATCCAAATTTAGGGAGGATCTTCTTACTTCAAATAATCCAATTCAAATACACACACACACACACACACACACACACACACACACACACACACAACAAAAAAAACCTCATGTGTGCGCAGCTGTGTGGGTTTTAGTTAATTGGAGTTTAGTCAAGTTGACAACCAAGAATAGCCATCACAAGTCTACCTGTGCTCAATTTAACACACATCATATATCTTTATATAATACTCACTATCCAAATGAAAACCATAGCCAGATCATAATTATGTCTAACATGTTATAACTGTCTCACATAGACGCAAACACGTATTTGTTTAACCAAGATATAACATGCTGCAGTTACCTTTTCTGGTAATTTGCTTTTTTATTGTTGTAATATGAATGATATGCCTTGAAAAAAATCATGAGTTTTCCTCATTTTTTCTTACAGTTTTATGTTTCTTAAATGTGAGGATGTAACAGGTCTCTTCTAAAATTCTTTATTTACAACTGTTCTATATTAAGAGTGTCTTTTTTGTTTCAACTTACAAATAGAGCTGTTATTGATAACCTTCTGCATATTTTTGCATATTACTGCTATATCTTTAGGTAAATTACTTCGTCAAAAGCCAAGTGCATATGCAATTTTATTAGCTATATTTTGTTTTCTAACTCCCCAAAGTGCATATGTAATTTTATTAGTTATATTTTGTTTTCTAACACCCAAAAGTGCATATGTAATTTTATTAGCTATATTTTGTTTTCTAATCCCCAAAAGATGGACCACACGGACCAGGCTGTGAGTAGTACTCTTGTTACTGCCCAGCTCACTATCCTTACAGTGTATTCAGTAAGATGAGCCAATTTGTATTCCAACCCCCACAGGAGAGTTCCTTTTTCACATAGCCTTACCAATAGAATGTCATTCTTCTTTAAAATTCCTTTTTCTTTTCTTTGTCTTTATCCTATCATACTCATGTACCCACCTCCAGTGTTGGGACCTAGATCTTTTTTCATGGTAGGTAAGCACTTCTACCAATGACTGGGTCACCAGCCCTGCTTTGCTTATTGGCTTTCTGTATTTCAATTTTGTGTGTGTTACCTGCTGGTTTTTCATTTCAGCCACTTTCTCCCTGGCATTTTTACATCTTTTGAGGGTGACCAAAGTAGTGTTTAAGACCAAGCCCAGGGCCAGTGCATGCTAAGCAAGCACACTCTACCACTGAGCCCCTTGTCTGCTCCACTTTAACCTCACATATCACTTTTGTGTTCTTAATTGTGGTTTTCTGCCCTCATTTGGTTTCCCTTTTTTTTTTTTTCCTCAGAGAAAGATTTATTATTTTTAATTTTGTGTGTGTGTTGGGTGGGGAAGGGTTATGTGCACAGAAGTGCCAGGTGACTATAGAGATCTAAGGAGTTGGATCCTGGAGCTGGAGTTACAGATGGTTGGGAGCCTCCCGATATGGGTGCTGGGGACTCAACTTGGGTGTTGTCTCCAAGAGCAGTCTATGCTCTTAACCACTGAACCATCTCTCCAGCCTCTCTGTTTCCCTTTTTGTGTTTTTATTTTAAGTAATTGTTCTTTAGGAGGTAGTTCCTTCTGTTGTTGTTTTGTTTTGTTGGAGTTTTGTTTGTCTTTTTGAGACAGAGTTTCTCTGCAACCCTGACTGTCCTAGAACTGTCCTAGACCAGGCTACATAGTAGCTGACAAAGAGATTTGCCAGCCTCTGTCTCCTCAGTACTGGGAAAGGTGTGCATCACCACAACTGGCTAATCTCTATACAACTAGCTAATCTCTTACTTTTTTTCTTTAAACCATTTAACATGTTATTCCTTCCTATAGTTAGTCAATATTCTCTCTCTCTCTCTCTCTCTCTCTCTCTCTCTCTCTCTGTGTGTGTGTGTGTGTGATGTATGTACTTATTGGTTTTGGTGTGTGTACATGTGTGAGGGCGGAAGTAGATGTTGGACATTCTTCCTCAGTAGCTCTCTGCCTTTGTATGCTAATATTCTGTCACTGAACCTAAAGTTCATTGGTTAGGTTAGGTACCAGCCAGTTTAAGGATCCTGTCTTGGCATTACCTACTCCAGCATTGTGGTTACAGGCATCTGCCACTTAGCCTGGCTTTTATGTGGGTTCTGAGGTCCAAACTCAGGTTCTGGTACACAAGTACTTTACAGACTGAGCTATTTCCTCAGCTGTTTTTAGTACCTAATTTCCTTTTCATATTCTCGGTGTTGGAGGAAGTGCAGTTGTGTTTTGTTTGCTGGGTTAAAGTTCCTAATTTCCTTCTGTCTTTGTGGCTGTTTCTTGTTTATACACACTGGTTTTCATACACTGAAAAGTAGTATTTTCATTTCATTTACTGTGTTTTCATCTAACATATTTCACTTAGTAATTTTTTTCTTAAAAGTATTTATAGAGCTCAAGGTTGCCCATTTTTCTTTTTTAAAAAAATATTTGTGTGTCTGTCTGAATGTATGTGTGTATATTATGTGTGTGTGGGAGCCCACAGAGGTCAGAAGAACTAACAAATCCCCCAGAATTAGAGTTACAAATGGTTGTCAGCCACCATGTGGGTGGTAGGAACTGAACCCGGGTCCTCTCCAAGAGCAGTAAGTGCTCTTAAGCACAGAGCTATCTCTCTAGCCCGAGGTTATCTTTCTTCATTGGAACAAAGAATGATTTCTTTGAGTGATTTGGAGGTGGGGGAAATGTGTTATATTCAGTAGTTTTCCTAGCAGAAAGGAAGTCTTTTGTTTCTCAGGCCTCTAAATTCTTCTCTTGAATTATCTTTTATTACCTGATGCTTAAATGGCCCATCTCAGCCATTTTTACCTTTCTTGTCCAGAAGTCATACCCTTTGAGCACTGCCAACTTGACTTGCACATTCTTTCTGGCTGCTAGTATGGCCATCTTTATTAGAACAGCACTAACAGCCCACAGGGATAATAAATAACTTTGTTAATTGAAGGGAGGCAGTAAGTACTTATTACCAAAGTTTAGAGAAGAAGGTATGATTGGTCATGATCAGGTTGAACAGTTTCTTCTGTAAGATTTGTGGACTAAAGAGCTTGTGTATTACACAGTGGACTGTATTTATAATGATTTGAATCTTTTTATGATTATTTGAACTGTGGTAACTGGGACACGTATGCCTGGGGCTGAGCAAAGTCAATACTGCCTGTAATTTTACCCTTAGGATGATCTTCCTCTTAGACTGTGACTTTAGGTCAGTCTTACACCGAGCAGTAGCTCCCCTCCTCCTTCTCCCTCAGAATTCTTCACAAATTACCATTGGTCTTTGTAAGTGGTTATCAGAGCTAGTTGGCTGAGATTTGGTTCTGTTTCTGTAGGCAAGTAATCTGAAGCTCTGCAAAGTTTGAGTTGTAGAAATTTTATTGATCTTACTGTTTTGATTTTGGAGGATATATGAGGTTCTTGAAATGTAGGTGGCTGTCATCCTCAGTGAGCCGAAAGTGTCTCAGAATAGATTTATTTATGCCTGAAGTTGAGCAGGCATGAAGTCCTTGTGTCTTCATTCACGTCTGCTCACATGGAAGAGTGTGAGGCTTGGGATTGGAGACTGTCACTGACGGCAGCTGCGTGTGCAGCGGGGCCCTGTGTACGCCCAGGTGCGCCTCTGTAAGAAGAGCCCTTGATGGTTCAGCCTGCTAAACAAGAGACGAATGGAGACTGCAGAATGTCCACTTGTACTTTTCTGGAGAAAGCACCTTGTGTAGCAGATATAAAAGAGATCAAAACAGTTAGCTTTGTTTTGGCAACTTACTTATTATTATTATTATTTCTCCATTAAACTAAACTGTTTTTCTTTTTCAGTCCTATGACAATGGGCTGGCACAGGGAGCAGGACTTGAATCTCATGGTAAGATTTCTTAAATGATTGTGTAGTTTTAAAATAGCACGTGGTATCTTCTGCACAAAAAAGTCTCAGACTGAATCTTTGCTGTAGAATGACTGTCTTTGTCACTTTCCCACATCTATCTTTGACACTGCTGTGCTTACCTATTTGGGGCCTCTTAAATCACTAATCTTTAAGAGAGTTTTCAAATCTGAGAGATTTCTAGTAATCTGTTAAAATGTTAGCTGCATGAATAGATCTTGGTATTGTCTCTTAGGCTATTAGAAAACAGCAGGTTATTTTCTTTGGTTTAACAATTGAAAGCCTAAAGCAAAGAGAGATATTGAACATGAAATTTTTTATGTACCTTCCATAATATAATTATACTTAGTGATAATCACAAGACATTTTTCCGTTGAACCAGTCTCACATTTCCCCTCTCTTTGGGCAGCACTAGAATAGTGAGGTGGTAGCCAGTAAGTTTGTTAGCACATCAAAAATATGCACCCTCCAAATCAAAATCTCAGTTCAGAAGTAATCAAGCTTCCATTCTTCTTTTCGAAGTGAGCCCAGATGCTGGAGACTCCAGGTGAACTTGAGGTTTCTCATCACTGTGTATGCTATGCTGTGTTCACATGCTGCCTCCATCCATCTGCTAACGTGATTGGAGCAGGGCTTTGGCCCTAACACCACCATCTATGTGACCATGCCTCCTAGATCTCCTAAAGTGTTTCCCCGTCAACAAAAGAGAAGTTTTGTCCTCTGTATAGAATATTGTCTTGACTTTTTCTCTGAACCCCCTATTACAATATGACACCATGGTTCTGGTCTATGCCTGAGTTACACAGATAGTTATAGGGGTAGCTCGCGATAGAGATACCAAACAAGATTCACTTCCCATGATGCCTAAGAGCCAATTCTGTGACATGAGTGTGCAAAAAGAAAGCTCTATTTCAAGACTAGTCAGCAAAGAGGTCAGGAACTGTGAAATCAAGTCTGCTTTCCCAGTCAGGCAGTACTGGGAATTGTAGTCAGGGAGTGAGGGAGAGACTATTTATTGATTGGATGATGGGAAGGAAAGTTTCCCTAAACTCTTTTAGACATGCATGGTCAACTTTATAGGTCGAATGCTTCTTTGGAGTAGAGTGATTCTATGTTGAGGATTTTGTCTTTGTAACTTTACATGCATCACATACATGGCTACCATGATTTACCTGTTAGCACTGTGTGGGAATATGGAGTAACTTACTGTCATATTTACTGAGTTTCCAAAGTAGCCAGCAATCCTACATTTTGAATGTTTATTTTTAATTATCTTGTCAAACTCATGTCACCAATTTGTAATCTCAGATCTGCGCATTAAGGTTAAACTTATTAAAATAATTTAGCTACTGCTCTGTGGTAGCTATCATTTGATAATTTGCATATTATCTCATTTAATTGGGTTGCCAGGCCTCTGTTACCAGGCTTCTTTGTAAGGGATAGGTTCAGTGAGAAAGGCCAAACTGCTATGAAAATTACAAGAAGGACCTGTGACAGGAATATGCCTTTACCTACCTGTGCTAGTTGATTAATTCTAGGACAAAATGCCTGCCAAACAGCTGTGGAAGGAGGGGTTTGTTTTGATTCTCAGTAACGGGCATAGTCACATGGAGAAGTCATGGTGGGAGATGGAGACATCCAGTCACTCCTGCAGGTAGGAAGCAGGGAGATGAATGGTACTGTGGAATGGCGTTCTCACTAGAGTGGGTCTTCCCACCTCAGCTAACATAAGCAGAAACCTAAATCAAATCCTATCAGATTGACTATTAGAATTAGCCATTACACTGCTCACAAATGGAGGGGAGTCTCTATGGAGTAGAGTGACAGAATAGCACTGCCTGCCTGTTCTCAGGCCCCAGAGTCCTCACTCTAAGAGCCCTTACTGAGCTGTAGACAGACAGATCACTAGAACTCGCTTGCTCGCACCCACGGCCTCTTTGCTGATTCTCTTTTTTCTTTAGGGCCTGTGATCCACTGTGCCTGCTTCTGCTTGGATCCCTTTTGTTTGAGTCTTACCTCTCATTGTTCCAGTGTAACTTGTTAGGTGGAACTGTCATTTGTCCCCCACCCAGCCCTGAACAAGCTCTCTGTTCTGTAATGCTGGCTTTATTCTACTTTCTTTGTCACTGTGTATGTATTAGGCTGTGGATGAGTCTTTCCATCCCTCCTGAGCCCACTTCCATCATGCTTGTGCCACTGGTGTGTGTTGGATAAATTGTCCTCTGTGGCACTTTGCATCCCTGGCTTGGAAAGTTGAGTTTGAACTCTCTGTTTCCACTTAATGGTATTCTGGCTTTTGCATGTGTGTGTATTCCTTACTCCTCAGTTTGAATATGTAATATTGGGTTGGGTTTGGGGGATTTTCTTTTTTCTAAGTCTATTGTCTCATTTCTGTCCTTGGCTTGGTCTGTGTATGTAAGCAGAGAGACTGACCAGGCAAATGGTGACCTTGATTATCAAGTATACTGCTCACATCATCTCACTAACTTACCAGGAGCAGACCACTTTGAGGTATAGTTTTAATATGTTCTGCAAGAATTGAGCTGTCTGAGTTTGCTATAGCTGAAATTATTTTTGTCTCTCAAGAGTCCTAATAGGAAGCTCAGATAAATTAATTTGATTCTGTGATTCTTTTTAATTATGTCTACTTTTTAATCCAGAACAGAAATGTTAAATCTTTGGCTTTAATTTCCTTTGAACACCGAACTCTTGTGAACTTATTTCTCCTTATCTTTTGTTCTTTTTTTCCCTTGGTATGATGCTTAAGTATAAAGTGTGCCTATTTATATGTCTGTGTATTTGTTTCCATGTTTACCTCTGGCTACATGCTTGTTATCTACCTTAAGTTCCATGTTTGAGAGGACAGATTCTTCCCAATCACTGCCAAACATGAATGCTTGTAGAATTCATAAAACTAACAAAGCCATTCTGGAACAGTGAGTTTAATCTGTGTAGAACGTATGTTACTACTCCTGCCAAGATAATTAAATATCTTGGATTTAATTATGAGTATTCAGGCATCTGTACTGGTCTGCCCTTGGAGTTCTGACAGGGTACGCCCTCTGCTGCAGCCCTGAGAGCACCACCTGTACACATTCACTACGTTCCCTTTTAACAGGGCCCTGCCCACCTCCCTCCTCTCCTTCCCTCTCCCTTTCCCCTTCTCTTTCTCCTTCTTTGTCTCTCCTCTCCTTCTCTCCTTCCTCTTCTCTGCCTCTCTTTACCCTTCTGCTGCCCTGTCTCCAGAGGCTGGTCTTCCCCCTTCCTCTCCCCTCTTTTTTCATTCCCTTTCCCCTAATTAAAAAAAAACCCTACACGTGAACTCTGTTGAATGGCATCTTTCTCTCAAGTGCTGCTTTTGAAAAATTACATCAATAATGCCTAGCCCCATGTAAACACTGTTTTTCTGTATTGGGCAGGGAGTGACAAGAAGAAAGTCTGTATAGAAGCCATTTGCTTTTCAAATGGTTTAAATTCTCAGTCTCCCCCCCCCCCCCGCCCCCTTGAATGCAGAACCTGTGGACATAAAGGAACTTAAAAGCAAGACTTGGGGTTTTGTTCTGGTGTCATTTGTATAATTTGGAACAGTGTCCTTGCTCTTGGTCCTAGCCCAAAAATATAACGTCCTTTACAACTTTAAATATTATTCTGTTTTGTCAGTTGACATGGGAGACTGTGCTGTTTAGTGTTTTGAGTTTTTTCTTAAAGTTTATTTTCACTGTCTTATAGGCTAACAGAACCATTCCTATTCTCCCAATATTTTATACTACTCTCTTGGGCCCATAGACCCCTGAGCAGAGGTTTACAGTTTGTGTTTTAATCATCAGGAGGATCCACCTTTTGTGGCATTGCATCACTGTGCCTGATGGGTAAACTGGAAGAAGTATTTTCAGAAAAAGAGCTCAACAGGATAAAGAGGTGGTGTATAATGAGGCAGCAGAATGGATACCATGGAAGGCCTAATAAGCCTGTGGACACCTGTTACTCATTCTGGGTGGGAGCAACTCTAAAGGTAAGAGAAGCCATGGAAATGAGGCACTTAAGCCCTTGATAGTTAAACTCGCTTAAAATTTGTGTAGGACTTGTTACATATGCATAAGGCCAGACATCTTGTTTAAAAAAAAAAAAAAAAAAAAAAAAAAAACTGACTAGAGTCTGTAGAACAGGGATTATTCTGGAATTCATACCCAGAAACAGGGAGTTAATTTAAAAAGATAATTGAGGGATATTTGCTAGAAATCCATTTAAACTTTTTCTTTCTTTTCTATTGTTTGTTTTGCCTAAAACTTCTGTATTTCATTGATTGGACTTGCTACATAAAGTCACTAAGCTGTTATCTCCATTGTTTGCATCTTGAAATGCCTTCTTCCTGAAAAACCACCCTGTGAGATGTTCTGACTATAACAAGAATTTGTGTTCATCATGTGTGTAATGTCCTGTTTTCTCCCTCGTGTGTGGTTGAAAGGAATCTGAAAAGAGACTGGTTTAAGATGAAGGCAATAGCCTATCTGTTTACTTCTAACACAGTTTTAAAAATGTATTTTTTTTTAGTCATGAAAATTCCAGACATACTAAAAGTAGAGTGTATAGTGTAATGAACTCGCATGCATCATCATGCTTCAGTAGTGGTCATCTCAAAGCAGCTCTCCTTCACCCATTTCAGATATACTCCTCCCAGTCACTGTGTTGTCTTCAAGATAGTATTTTGTTTTATTTTGTTTTCTGCAAATTCTTAAATATGTTTTCTAAATGAAAATAACTTAAGAAAACAGCACCCCAGTATCAATACCATATCTTAAAAAATGAGTCAAAATTGCTTTCCATACTAAGTCACACTAAGTGATGTTGGTTTTTCCTGTTGCATCACACCAATACCAAGCTCTCTCTCCTTTTGGTCAGAGGGCTCTGAGTTGTCAAGCTGGTTGTTCTGTTACAAAATTCTGTGGAATTTTCTTTCATTGTGTGAGCTATACTAGCTTAGTATGTCTAGCACTTTAACCATTTGTATATAATCTACTAGTAATAATAGTATCCAAAATAATATGTAACCACCACTGCTATTGTATACATGGCCTCTGGTCCTGTCAGGAGTCTCTCACTGTCCTCTCCCCCTAGCCTCCTGTAGTCACCGTTCTATGAGCTGTCTTCATGTGTCATTTCTGAGTATCTCATTGTATTGTTATAGTAACTGACCAAAGCAACTTCATAAGGAAAGATTGGATTAGGCTTAAAGTTCTGGGCATAAGGGAGGGCCTGGCCACAGGATCAGGGAGTGGCTGGTCACAGTTGTCCTCGGTCAGGAAATAGCAGTGAGGGCTGATGCTCATTTGGCTGTCCTGTTTATGCAGTCCAAGATCTTAGCCTGGGGAGATATGTGCCCAGAATTTTGGGGGGGAATTCTATCTTAGTTAACCTAATCTTGATAGTTCCTCACAGACACAGACAGGCCCAGAGATTTGCCACCAGTTGACTCTAGATTCTGTTGTTGTAAGTCATCACACTCATGTAAATGCAATCATGCAACATGTGTTCTTCTGTTTCTTCCTTATTTTCCATAGCATGTTAGGAGCCATCCATTTCCTTTTTATGACTGAATTATGTTCCTCTCTCTCTCTCTCTCTCTCTCTCTCTCTCAGTCTCTCAGTGTGTGTGTGTGTATAATTTTAGTATGTATCTACTGAATCTGTAGGTATGCCTGGGTAGAAATCATATTTTGACAGTATTACACCTTCTTGCTAATGAGCTTGGTAAGAAAGTAAAAGATAACCATAGTTGGCTAATATAAGTGCTCAAGTCACCAGAGATTTGCTCTGAGAGTCTAAGCTAAAGAAAAGTCTATCCGAATGATCAGTAACAAGCCAATAAGAAGTTTTGTACCTGTTAATTTTTGTCATTTTGTTTTTAGCTTCTGAAAATTTTCCAGTACACTAACTTTGAGAAGAACAGGAATTACATCTTATCAACTCAGGATCGCCTTGTGGGGGGATTTGCCAAATGGCCAGACAGTCATCCAGGTAATTACATTTGGCTTAAACCTAAAGCAGCATAGGTTTTACTTGTTGAGTAGACTTGGTAAGTGTATGTCTTCTTCAGAAATTGTAATTGATAGAAAAATGTTACAGTAAATAATACATTTTGTAAAAGCTTATGTCTGAAGGTAGGTGAAATGGCTCAGTTGGTAAATAGGCCAGCTGCCAGACTTGGTGATCTAGGTTCGTTACCCAGAACCAACATGATAGGAAGGGAGAACCAACCCCATATGTCGTCTTTTGACCTCTACATGTACACTCATAAACCTATCATACCCACACACAAAATAAAAATCATGAAGATATTTGAGACATGTTTAAGGTATGGGTATTATAAAGGAAGGGCAAATTGTCGAGATATTAGTATAGTTTGCATTCCCTATACCCCCAATCCTTACAAATGTTTTATTTCATGTGTAAAAGTAAGGCAGATGTTCTGAATGGGTCCTGTTCAAAACTATGAGTTATTTGACTCATGTAAAACATCAGGATTATTAGCTGTGACTTCAGGGTCATTAGCTGTGACTTGAGCTAATGGCATTCTAAATTGCTTTTTTGTTGCTGTATTAAAACTTTGACCAAAAGCAACTAGGTTACAATCCATCATTGAGAGAAGTCAGTTAAGGGACACTTGCTTACTGGCTCACTCTCTGCCTGGTACTTTCTTCCATTCAGGCTAGCTAGTTAGCTTGCTAGCTTTGTTTTTTGACATAGGGTTTCACTGTGCAGCCTTGGCAGTTCTGGAACACATTCTGTAGATCAGGCTGGCCTCGAACCCAATGCCTGCCTCTGTTTCCCAAGTGCTAGGATTAAAGGCATGCACCACCACCTCTGGCCAAGCTAACTTTCTTATACAGCCCAGGATTGCCTGCCAGTGGGTGGGGCCCTTCTACATCTGTCAGCACTCAAGACAATTACCCATAAACATGGCAACAGGACAGCTTGAACAAGATGATTTTTCAGTTGAGGTTCCTTGTTCACAAGTGATTCTAGATTATTTAAAGTTGATAAAGCTAACCAGGACATTTGAGTCCTGAGGGAAACAAGAATGACTTCTAAGCTTAAAAAAAAAAAAAAATTCAACAAAACCAAATTCAACAACACATTTAAAAATACTGCTCAAGGGTCTGGGTATAGCTAGTTACTAGAATGCTTAGCGTGTATGCAGCCCTGGATTTGATCTCTAGCACTATATCAACCATATGTGATGATGTATGCATATAATTGCATCTCATAAAAAGTGAACACAGGAGAATCAGAAGTTCAAGGTCATCTTTGGATATACATTGAGTTTGAGGCCGGCCTGTCATACATGAAACCCTGCTTTCCACAGCATTTGTTTACCTTGAGCAAATAGACTTCATTCTAGGAATGCAAGGACAGTTCAACACACATCTATAAATATATTACATCCCATAATTAAGACTCAAAGATAGATGTCACATGATCATCTCAGTACATGCAGCAAAGATTTTGGCACAGTATAACGTTGCTTTGTGATAAAAGCCCTGAAGAAATAAGGAATAAAAGAGATATAACCCCACATGATAAAGGCTGTGCATTTTTGCTAAAACCAGGGACTTTCTCCAATGTTAGTAGAGTTTTAAATTCTTACCTACAACAAGGAAATAATGCCAACAATTGACAAGATTTCATGAATTTAAAATCTTTCTGTACAACAGAGGAAACAGAATATCAAAGAGAGCCTACAGAATGGGAAAATATCTTCACTAGCTATACTTCTGAAAGAGAATTAATATCTGGCATACATAAAGAACTTAGAAATCTAAATACCAAAATCCCAAACAACTCAGCTCATGAATAAAAAAGATGAATGAACAGACAGTTTTCAAAAAATGAAAGTTCAAACGGCCAATGAAAATATGAGGAAATAAAAGGTTCAGCATCGTTAGTCATTGGGGAAATGTAAAACTACATTCAGATTCCCTCTCGCCTTAGTCAGAATGGCTGTTATTATAACAGATAACAAGAGTCCTTAAATACTGCCGGTGAGAACATAAATTATTCCAGCCACTATGGAGATGAGACTAAAAATCAATCTATCATATGACCCAGCTGTACTAATGCTGGATGTATACCCAAAGAACTGTAAGGTAACATACTACAGAGAGCCTTCAGTAGCCATGTGTCCTCAATAGCTAAGTTATTGACCCAGCTTAGGTTTCAATCAGCAGATGAATGGGTAAAGAATGTGGTATATGTACCCAATGGAGTTTATTCAGAATGAGATTACGTTGTTTGTAGAAAATGGATGTAACTGGAGATTCTTGCAGTAATCAGAATGCAGCAGACTCAGACTTACCTGTCCCTGTTTTCCCTCATTTGGGATCCATGACTTTATGTAGACATAGAAGGTCATTCATATGCATATGACATAAAGCAGAATAGACTGTCAGGTTGGGGAGAAAGGAGGGTACATGGTGATATGTGTCAATGAACATGCCTTATATTATCTTCCGTATTATGGCAAGTTTTTTTTGTTTGTTTGTTTGTTTTTTTTTTTTTTTTTTTAAGATAGGGTCTTACTGTGTAGCCCCACATGGCCTGAAATTCACTGATCAAGATATTTTCAAATATACAGAGATCCCTGCCTCTGATTCCCAAGTGTTGGGATGAAAGGCCACTATTGTGGGTTTGGTTAATTTCTTTAGACAAGTACCTAAATTTCTGACTTCTCATGTTTTTAGCTAAAATGCAGTAACTAAATAGCCACAGACCATATAACTGGCACTGAAAAATTAGCACCCCTCCTTAGCATCCTTCCCAGTTTTTACTCACCCCACTTATGTTTTACTCTAGCAAAATGAGCCTGCTGCAGCTTGTCTATAAAAATTGTTGCTAAAGTAATTGAGAGCACTGGCATGGTTGAGTAGCATATTATTGGAGGATTAGCTATAGACATGCACCTAGCTGCAAGGCATGGCCATTGCAGCAGTCATAGAATCGTGGCCTTGCTTATCGTAGCATTGGGAAGTGCTCTTCTGCTTATCTCTATGGAGCTTCTGTGCATGCAATGTGTGCTTGAGGCAAAATGTACAGAAGAGGCTCAGGAAGTCATATTTTTGTGCTTAAAATAAAAGGAGCAATTACCCCTGTCCCCTCCCCTTTTAACGTAAAACATGCTTTCTTAGAGAAAAATGTGGGCTGCTTCAAAGGCATGCACAACATATGTTTACACAGATCGATTTCCAAAGCAAAATACTAGTTTTGGGAATTGTGTGTTAATACATAGCTGGAAATATGTTTAATGTCTTAAGAAATCTGGCGATTGTTTTGGTCCTAGTTCCACTTTTTTTTTTTTTTTTTTTTTATCAGCCTCAAAACGTTTTAACAGATAATGAAAATAAGAAACGCAATCTTTTGGAAAGCATCTCATTTATTTGAAATACCAATTACTTCTGGTATCATGGAGTTTTATTTTATGGGCTTTTTGTTCAGTTGGCTTTAGGTTTTTGAGACAAGATCTCAAAAACCTGCAGCCCAGGTTACTCTTGAGCCTCCTGCCTTTGCCTTCCAAATGCTGGCTTCAAGGTGTGGACCTAGCTTCCCAGTTCTATGTTCCATGAAGCTTTCTTCTAGAGAGATCAGTTGCTAAGTTTAGTGTTTGTATCCACACGTGGGTGTGTTGATGACTTAGAGACTTGCCTCCCTGGAACCTTCACACTGTCACACAGATGGTTTGAGGGCAGGGCCTGCTTAGCAAGCCTTTAGGAGAACCATCAGATGAATGCCTTAACTTGCTTTTAGTAAAATTGGTAGCAGATTTGGCATCAGGACCTTTATTGTTTTTTTGGAGAATACTTTTGCCTTATTAAAGGAAGTGTATCACTGTCTACAGATGAGGGCTTTGGGTTTTGGATTGTTTGGGTAGTTTTGTTTTAATGACTTGAAGTTTGAAATTAAGTACTAATTTCTGACTTTCACAAAAACTTCTTTTGAGGAAAAAAATCTTAATATGGAGAGATTAAGATTTTACACAAGATCAAATTTATATTATTCTCAATTTGTGTTAATTTTCCTTGCTGTCTACCTTTATGTGTGTGGAATATTTTGCCTGTATTTTTGTCTGTGCACCATGTGCTTGCAGCACCTGCAGATGCCAGAAAAGGGTGTCAGAGCCCCTGGAATTGGAGGCACAGATGGCTGTGGTCTGTGGGTGTTGCAACTCTTGAATTGCTGAGCTGTCTTTCCAGCCCCTTCCTCTACCTTTTCTTTCCCCTTGAAAGTTTTCTGATTTCTAAACAAGGTTAATGCTATTTTGTTCACCTTGTAATATTAGAGTAACTGTAAAAAAAAAAAAAAACAAAAAAGGGAAATTTTAATTTTTTTACTCTGAAAATTAGAGGAACATGAGCCATTTAGCTTGTGGCAGAGTTAGACCTGGTAAGGTATTCTGAACTTTAATAGCTCTTCGGATCTTAAATACTGGCCATTTCAAAAATAGAAAAGTGTTCTTGGTTGCTATGAAACTTTTTTGTAGTGTTCCTGTAACTGCAGAGTTCTGAGCACTTCGAGGTCTGTATAAGGTTCTCAGGCAGGCAGAAGTCATGTGTTTTCATGAAGCAGAGGGTGTGGCTCCATGGAAATGGGGGCTAGTGAGGTTAGGTAGGGCATAAGGGTCGTTACTATAGCATGTAGAAAGTGAGTCTGTGAGGACTGTCAGGGCAGAAATGGCACAGCTCTCCAGGTGGACTCTCCACTCTGTTTACCCCACACAGCGATAGTGTATACTTAGGAGCTGTAGGGACAAAGCTCAGGTGAGAGAGCAGGTGTTGCTGCTGTTTATGTTTTCATTTTCAGGAAACTTTCTAGGACTCTGGTTATAGCTTGGTGATAAAGTGTATACTGACCATTTGGTAGGCCCTGGGTGTACTTAACACCATAAAAACAAAATTGAAAATGAAAGAAAATTTTTCATTTAAAATATAAATTATTTTTTTCTATTCTGTAGTCAGCAGAAGGCATTCAGGGCCTTAGAGATCATAGGCAAGAAAGTCATGTGATACATTCCTCTTGTTGTAATTTAAAAAGTGGCAGAGAGAAAGACACCATGCAACAGAGCTCACGTGGAGGGGCATTTTATTAGGGGAAAGGGAATGGGAAAAGGAGGGGGAGGAGAGTGGGGACCAGTCTCTGGACACAGGAAAAGCAGAAGAGTAAAGAGGGGGATGGTGGAGACAGAGACAAGCAGGGAAGCTGAGAGAGAAAGTTGGGAGATGGGCAGAGCCCCTTTAAAAGGAAATATAGTGCTCTTAGTGGCTGCAGCTGAGGGAGTATCCTGTCAGAACCCTGAGGGCAGGCCAATAAAGATGCCTGAATACTAACACCTCTATAGTAATTTCAGTAATACAGTACGTGATTTTGATTGACTTTTTAAAGTAATGCTTGAAATTGAGACTAGTTCTTTCAAAAAGTAGTATTTTCTAATTTTTTAAATGTAGTGATTAGTTGTATGGACACTTTGCAGTGTATGCAAGTGAGAATGCTGATAATGGATCTAAATGTCTTTTCAGATGCTTTGCACGCATACTTCGGGATCTGCGGCCTGTCTCTAATGGAGGAGAGTGGGATCTGTAAGGTTCATCCTGCTCTGAATGTAAGCACACGGACTTCTGAGCGCCTCCGAGATCTTCATCAAAGCTGGAAGACCAAGGACTCTGAAGAGTGCCCGGAGAGTGTCCACATTTCCACTTGAGTGACCCTGGGGATGAATGGGCTTGTAGCATAACTGTAGCTCAAGGTTAAAAGCCATGTGTAACCAAGTGTGCTCTTTTCTAAGGAGTAGTCTTAAGTCAAAGCTTGTACTGCTAACACTGCAGGATGTGGTCTTGAGCCTTGACCACTGTACTGGATTTCACGAAAATTCTTGTTGAAGTTTGGACCTCAGCAGGACTCTGTTGTGGTTCTTAAATGTTTATACTATGTTTTTGAGAAGTTTCTTGGGGCAGATTTACTATATATATGTAGGTCATATTCTTAAAACTCTTCAGTACAAGTTCTGGCTTACAAAATGGACATAAATATTCAAGTTTACACTTCATGTGGCATTGATAATCTTCAGGTGAGCATTTAGTGATCACTTAAAAATCTCTACTGCTGATGGTAAGATTTGCTTTATTGAATTAAGTATCTGGGATTATTCTTTAAAAATAGATGGTCTCAATTTTCTTCAAGAATAACATTTTGTGTTATTCTTAAGATGTGCCAACATAGACTTGTGTAACCTATACAGATGAAATTAAAAGTTCATAGTAAGAAAAAAATAGGCTTAACTAATTCTATATTTTTCTAAAGAGAGAGTACTACATAATTGAGGGAGAAGACATTGAACTGTGTAAATTATGAATGAGAAGGTTCTATGTTGTGTGTCTTTATAAGAGGTCCCTTGGGTGAGCACCTGTTGTGTTTCATTTTAATCCAAAATCATTTGGATGCCTTTTGTCAGGGGCAAGGGAGGAAATAATCTTTGCTATCTAGTAAAAAGATACTTGGTGTTCTATTCTTTTGAGGTTCATGACACTGTAAATTATACAGTTATAACTGAGTTCTTTTTAGTTGATTGGATGCTTCTTTTTTCTTTTCTTTTCTTTTTTTTTTTTTTTTTTTTTTTTTCCTCAATATTTTGTAGCTACTATAGTTAGCAGCTTTATCTCCCATCTACCAGGTTGAGCATCCTTAATCCAAAGTTCAATATCTGGACCAGGCACAGTGAGTGGCACACACCTTTAAGGTCAGAACTCAGGAGGCAGAGGGAGGTAGATCTCTGTGAGTTCAAGGCCAGCCTGGTCTACATAGTAAGTTTCAGGCTAGCCAGCACTACATAGTGAGACCCTGTCCTGAAAAAACAAAACGAAAACAGCAGCAACAAAAATAATAAAATCCATTATTCAAAATGCTCCAGAATCTAAATTTTTTGACTGACAGTAAGACACAATTGGAAAATTCTATCATTTCGTGCAACATGAATTTCAGGGACAATGTAAATAGCGTATAAAACTACTTGAAACTACTGAATAATGTGTATCAAGTAAGTGCACTCTGTGGTTAGTCTTGGGTCCCATCCACAAGGTGTGTATGTATTCCAAAATCTGAAAGCAGAATCTAAAATCTGAAACATTACTTTTGGTTCCAAGCAATTTGGATAGTGATACTCAACCTGTAAATAATTTTCTAATGTTTTCAAGTTTGATAAATCTTTAAATACAAACAGAACTACTGAAGTATACATAGTCATTTATATTTTTATATTTTTGGCTAAGTGGGAGGGAAATATATCCATCTAGAGGGGATAAACTGGTTTCACTTATTCATTGTCTTGTTTTACTGCCTCAGTTCTGTAAACTGACAACCAAAAGAAGCTGGTGTAAAAATCCTTTGTTAGCAATCACTTGTCAATAAATCACATCCATGACTTATTGACAAGAAGAAATGCCTTCAGTAGAAGAAATAGGTGTGTTAGCCTCACTAATAATAAAAGTTGTATTATTAATTACAGACATCATGGTAAAATCTAAATTATTAGTGTCACTAGGTAGATAATAGCATTTTCATTATTTCCTAAACTAAAGAGACATTTCTTAAATAAAAATACTTGTAAAGGAAAACCCGGCATATGATTAAAAATAATACATCACTTATGGACATCCTTAGTTTTAGAATTGAGTTTGCAAAGTCAAATAAAACAATGCTGGGAGTCCAGCTCACTGCCTGATGTGCACAAGGCCCTGGGCTCTCTGGCTTCGATCCTTGGCCCCAAAATTAATAAACCAACTAAATCCTTATTAGAAATAAATCTTCCAGTGGTGGAGTGAAAAGCTTTCCAACAATTGTTATCCTTCCACAAGTTATTCCAGTTGCTTCTGTTTAAATCTAAGCAAAGGAAAACAAACCTGTCTCAAACTGAGTTATCTCTTGAACATTAAGACCTGAAACAGCATGTATGAAAATGTTCTAGGTGTATCTTGGGAGCCAGTGTTTTTCCTGAGTTGCTGTCAATTGTTAGGAGGTAAGAAAATTGATTATTAATAAATAGAAGATTTATAACATAAAAGTAATTTATATTTTCAAACTCCTTGTGTAATTTACTGGTAAAGAAATACTAATGGCAGAATAACTGTAATATACTCTTAAGAGGCAAGGTTCCATATGACACTTTATGGACCAGTGAATGTTTGTGTTTTATAGAAACATATCAACCAAAAAAGATTGAGTTGTTTTGAAGTATGGAAAACTCTTTCTAGCTTTTCCTAAATAGTTGCGTCTAAGAAGATATTTATTACTAAAATAAATTACAAGCAGCGTTTCACATGTAATCTGTTCTCTAGCAGTAGTGACACAGTAAGAGGAGAAACACAAAGTTCAGAAATGCATCACCATCCCTCTTAGCCAGCCTCTCCCATCTCCTCGTGTTGTACTTTTGAAGAGTAATAGAAGGAAAATTTATCACCTCCAGTTTTAGGTTTGACCTGTAATACTTGTTTTTATTAGATTTTTGAATAGGTATTTATAAGTAGTAAAGTCCAAATATAAGTTTTGCTGACGATGTTGATAATTTGAAGTGTTTGATAAACTGATGAGGAGGTACTCAAAAGCAAGATGACTTGAGGTTTGAACCACTTATCTGCCCGTTGTGTGCCATGAGCTTGGACCCTATTTGTAAAAGGATGTAAACAATAGAATTTCATTCACTAGGCCGATTCAGGATTAAATGAGATAGTATATAAAAAGCACTTTTATACAGCAGGTTTCTAATTATAGTTTCATATGATGATAAAAGTGTTTTGAAAATCTCTTGTACAATAGAAATCTTAACAGTTTAAACTGAAGGAAAATGCTACCAACAGAATAGTTTTAAAATTTCCCCATAAGTAACAGAAGGAATATCAAGTATAACCAAAGTCATTGCAAAACTAGGTGACAGGTGGTACCCCAGTGAGCCTCAGAATACAAGTGAAAGAAAAAATGAGAACTAATGGTTTTGGCCCACAGTGTTCCCCTTCTGTGCAGAGGATATGGGAGGAAAGCAGCTGGGTTCTGAAGCCCTACAGATTGGGAAACTGGTATCGCCTTGCTCTCACTACAGAGGGCAGTGGGTGATTGTGAATAAAAGCTGAATCTTGGAAGAGCTCTGCAGCATTCTGTCAGCTGTCAGTGAGTGTTGGACAGTGGAAGGTGTGTTGGAATAGTAGATAGAACAGCCTGACCTAATATTATGTACCTTTTGAAATTAATTAGATAAAGCACAGCACTGGTTAGAAATTACTAGAATTAGAATCCAAACTGGACAGGATAGGCATGATCATAAAGGAGAGATGGCTAAAATAAATGTTGGAACTGGGATCGAAATGTAAAATAATAAATTTAAAAAAAATGTTGGGAGGAAACGTCTGTAGACACAGATGGGTAAGTACAGGCATACACAAGCATTTCAATCACAGAAAGGAAGGTTTCTGGGAAGGTGGAGCCATTTTCTGGAGCAGCCCTTTCTTCTAAACAGTGACTTAAAGAAAAGAGCAGGTGAGCAGTTCCATTCCCAGAGTTAGAGCAGCGTCCTCACAGACAAGAACAAACCCAACCATGGCCCCTGAAACCTAAAACGTCAGTGACAGCAGCATAGAGTGTTTTATAGTGATACATATGGTCTCAGAATTGGGGCAGGGAGCAAAATCAAGCAGGGGAAGGAGGCAGAAAGATAAAAGCAAAAGGCAATCAGCGAGCCTCTGAAGACACAGGAGGAGCATGTAGGGAAACTTAAATGACAAGGGCAGTGAACACACTGCCCTTGTCTTAAAGATGTAGTTTTTAGAACAAAATGCAAGTTGATAAAATTGAATGTAGAGAATACAGCTACCATGGGGAAATGCAAATAAAAGAAGACCGTTGTACAATCCTGTAAGATTGAAGAGTCTCAACGTTGCTTTAATAATTCCAGAGACTAACAAGGGGATCTTGAATCTTAAATTACTACATAAAAGAAAATTTTCACATGTTTACTTTGTAGAGGTGGTATAAATGACATTAATTTTAAAAACACAACAAAGATTGTACAAAAAGGGCAAGTTCCAGGCCATTCAGACTTGCTATTATCTCCAGAGTCTGTGGTGATAGCTCTTTTAGTAGTTTTTGCCACTTACTCATGAAGATCTGGATTTGATCGCCATTACCCAAGGGAAAAATGGGGCTTGATGACGAGTGCTTGTTCCTAGAGCTGAGAAACAGGCAGATGGCTGGAGCTTGTTGGCCAGCCACCCCAGCCTAGTGGATGAGCCCCAAATCCCCCTAATGGCCCCTGCCTAGAGAGTAAGGTGAGCTGTTTCAGTGGGTAGAGGCTCTTGCTACACAAGCCTGGAGACCTGAATTAGATTCCCTAGCATCCATGTCAAAGTGGAGAGAGAAAGCCGACTCCACAGAGTTGTCCTGTGACCTCATGTGTGCATAACACATGTGCTCCCATACACACAAATAGTAATGATTTTAAAACTTAACATGAAAAGCTGAAGAACAGCTAAGGTTGACCTCAAGCCTCCATACACCTGCAAACACAACCATGGATATCAATATAAATACAAGTTAGTGATTTGTGAGGCTTACAACCCAGTAGCACTTGAAGAGGAAATAAAATCACGACTTAGTTGAGTTTGTATTAGGAATGCAAGGATAAGTCAGTTCTAAACAATCTTAACATAGTGTTAAAAGACATTTGATTGGATAGAATTAAGCACTTATATCAGAAAGTGATAGAGGATTTCTTAACATTGTGTCTCTACCGTAAAGGCTGGCATCCTACCATTGAATCCAAAAGCCTTGCTTACAAAGCCAAAACAAGACTCTGCCTACTGTCTCCCTTACTACTTAACACCTCAAGAGAACTTTTAGCCAAGGAACTTAGAGCAAAGACATGAATCATAAAAAGTTCAAGCTTGGCAAATAGGATCATCTGCTTGAAAAACCCAAAGGAATTTGTCAAGACACCAAACCATAAAAGCACTTAATTAGTAGCAGTAGTTAAGGTGTGGGCAGCATAAGGACTGCATTTCCACAGTTCCACAAGACAGAACCAAATCACCTCTTTCAGCCACCTCCTCCCTCTCCAAAAGTTAAGTGCTATAAGAACTGGCTTGGTTACCATCTAAGTCCGCTTTATGTGAGCTTTCTATATAAGTGCAACCGTGTGATTTACACTGTGTCTTACTTGGCTTCTTTGCCCTAGAAGAGAATACAAGGGCTCTCTGGTGCTGGTTACATAGGTGCATTCATTTTATGAGTGTTTACCAAGCTGTACCATCAGCCGTGCTTTGTGTACTGTTGTGTGTGTAAACACAATTCAATAAAAATGTTTAGTAAAAAAAAAAGACTTCATAAATATATTCATATAAACCTAAACCATTTAGAAGACTTACCTCAAGATCTCTGTGATTGCTGGAATAGAAAAGACTCGTGTATGAACTCAATCAGACATGTTTAAATACCTACATAAGAAAATCCTGTTTTGGAAGACAATAGACCCGAATAAAGGTGTGCCTTATTGTTTACAGTAAGACAGCATCAAAACAGTTTTCTTGGGTTAGTCTGTAAATTTAATGCCATTGCAGTAAATGCTATGCTTGTTTTCACTTGAGAGAATGTATTAGACCAGTAATTAAAACTGAGAAAGTGAGAAGAAACCAGACCTGCCAGACACAGTGTGTGTTGGCAAAAGTTATCAATTAAGTATGTACATGCTTTGTTCAAGCAATTTCATAACTACAAATCTAGATTAAGCACACAAATGGATTATGTGCTTCAAGGATCTTCCAGTGTATAAGACATAGGAGAAAAGACATTTGTTTATGATAACATTCATACAGTGCAATACTATACAAGTGTTAAGAAAAACACAACGGTGTTTGTAATATATTGCTAAATGAACCAAAAATTTGGTGTTAAATAATAGTCTGATAAACAAGGGGAATGAAATGTTAGAATTGTCTCAGCAGCACATTAGAGTAAAGGTAACATCCAAAATCAGTGAGAAAGGGAACTTAACTAAGTATGTAGTTACCTAAGTAACTGTGGAATTGTTCACATATTTATAAATTCTTGAAGAATGTATAGTTTCATCTATCTCAAAGCTTTGCATGTTGCACTATGAACCAAGTACTGTACATTCTGTATTTTAAGTTTTAGTCATTCAGTAATACAGATGTCTTTTAATATGTAGATTTTAACAGGTGTTGAGTATTGCCTAAGTTGTCATTATTGGTGACTTGTTTTTCACAGTTACAAATATGTTTCTGTGAGATGCTTGAGAATGTATTTTCTCCCTATTAGGTAAGTTTATGGATATGGAACTGTTGGGACAAACTTTTGCATATTTTAAATTCTGGTAGCTCTTGGCAAATGGCTACCTAAGAAAGTCATGCTTCCAAGGCTTCTGCAAAAATATTCTGCTAGTTAGTTTCTCTGGGACAGTAGGAAAGACAGATGGCTTAGTTCCTTGTCCTCTTCTTGCAGCTTAATGTAAGGTCCAGATTCTGAGTGACTGACATTAGGTCTGTATTTCCAATAATGGTGCCAGCACTAGGGCACCACTTTCCATGTTTATTCTTTCAGTCTGCAATGTTTCTTTAACTGGGGTATTTATCTTCCACCCTCTGGCCTCTTTCCACATTTACCCTAGTGTTCTGCTAACTTTTCATTAAAGCTTGACTTTTGAAAGTGTATGTGGCATTTTCTAATGTAATTGAAGGTAATAGTGTGTGCATACATGGTGTCTTTATTTTGGAAGGCGGTATATGGTTCTACAGGACAATATAATACAAAATATATTTGTTGTTGTTAAGTGTGTGTAAAGGCTAGTGATGTAGTAGACAACAGTTGGACGTGTGCTTAGCATGTACCAGGCTCTGGATTCTATCCCCAGCACTGCCATCAAACAGATATAGGATGTGGGGATGTGAAAGGCATGTAAAACTGAAATGAAAGTGAAAGATATATTGATAGTTAAGACTCATAGCTTGTCTGCCCCCTCATTTCATCCTTTTGGAACATGTCAGGGGGATTCAATAGA